AAAATGTAAAGAAAGGTAATACATTCCAAATTCTAACTGATTGGGGTTTATATCAATGCTATCTCAAGCCACAAGTTACCAATATTTTTTCATGAAGTTTGATCTCTAGATGTGAATTAAAATTATAGGTCTCTAGTGTATACCAGTCTGCCTATGACTATATATTCATCCCCATCCCCATCAGTCATTCTAATTAACCCTTAATTAGGAAGACAATGTTATTATATAGTCATCACCTGTTGTACACATATATGTACCACCACCTTCATCGCAACCTGGTTACATTAACATAACCTTGAAAATTAAAATATCGAAAGCTCTTTAAAGCTGTCCGAATGTAAAGAAAACTTTTGCATGGTCCAGAACATGTTTTAAGAGGTCTATCAAGTATGTAGCGAGAAGGAATTAGGTAGTCAGTTTCTCCTTTTCATACGTCTTCTGACCAGTGTCATCAATTGGATAGATATTTAGATCCTCTCATGTATGTTAAAACAGGTTACCAAAAAAGTTTACTGCAGAAAATTAGTAAAATAGAGACTCAATCTGGTAGCAAGTCTACCATTTCTCAACTTCCTCAACTGCTAAATTAAAAGGATCGTGCAGATAGGATCCAAAGGAGAAAGCACAAACTTGCAAACACACGCAAAGGAAAAGACAGGGAGAGTACTGTTGTAGTTCAGAAGCTTCTCAATGAGATCAACATGAGTCATCAGCATTCTTCTACAGCAATAGCGAACCAAACCCAATGCATCAAGAGCATCTATGTAAACAAAACAATTTAACATTAGATCTGGAATTCCGAGTTACCCCAACTTTGCCAAAACATTGTAGAACCTTCCCGGTGAACTCTGCTTCACAAGGTATAAAAGTCATATTTCCTGCAGCATCCAGTTTGGTTAAAAAGTAAAGGGTTCCCCATTCTCAATCACAATCAATCCAATCAAGCAAAAAGTCTAGCACAGTTTCAATTATATAAATACCACCATCCGATCAAATTGAAAAAACCCAGTTAATTCAAATTCAAGAAACTGAATAAACTAGAAAATTAGTCAAACCAAAAGACTAAGACAAATATGTAAACAGGTTGGGGAAGCAGTACCAGGAACAAAAATCAGTTTGCGAAGACAGTAACGAATAAGTTAACTCGGATCGGAATTGAGTATGATGAGCGAGGAATTATTGGGAGTTAACTTTGAGGTGGCGACTGGCGGAGGACTCCTCGCGGCGTCGCGACTCGCGCGGTTAGGGTTGAAAAAAGGGCCGGCTCGTTGTGATTTGTGAAATAGTGAAGGGAAATGAAGAAGAAGAAAAGAAGTCGCCTAAGGAAATGAGGTCGTCGCCTGGTCGTCTGTCCCATTGAAGTTGGAGGCGGAGTTGTCGCGGCATCGAGCTGAGACAAAGGAAAGCAGTGAGTTTGTGCGTGTGAGTGAGGGGAAGCAACAATACAAGAGTGAGGCAGAAACGAGAGAGGAAGGAAAAATTAGGGCTTTTGATTTTTAACAAAGTTTGATACTTTTGGCAACGTTCCAATAAATGTGGCGGAAAAGTGACTTTTAGCAACGTTTATCGAACGTTGCGAAAGGTAAGAATTTTCGCAACGTTTGATAAACGTTGCTAAAGATGACCTATCGCAACATTTGGTGAACGTTGCAAAAAGTCTTACCTTTCGCAACATTTGATAAACGTTGCTAAAGGTTAAACCTTTCGCAACACTCAATAAACGTTGCTAAAGGTGTTTATCGCAACATTTTTATAAAAAACGTTGCCAAAACTCATTTATTAATACCAATGGCAACATTCACCTACTAAAATGTTGCCAAAAGACCCTTTTGGCAACATTTGTTGACAAATGTTGCATTTTTAATGTTGCAAATGACCATTTTTGTTGTAGTGTGTATTAGTATTCAAATCAACGAGGTTTGAATATTGTTCCAAAGTTCTGGAATCTAGCAATTTTTTTTAACTAAATTTATATTATATTCTATAAGATAAGATCACATCTTGAATTTACAAATTCAAAATCAAATATAACTATATTATTTTTATATTATACATTTGATAAGTATATTTTACATGATTATCTAATCTCTTAAATCTACTTAATATATGATTGATTGAGCGAATTTAAACTCACATCATGTTGTATTTGACTTCTATAGGCTATAACCCCAATTTGAATGTATACAAAGCACAATGAAGTGATTTTTAGCATAATTGAACAAAAATATGATGTTGGATGAATATCGAAAAGTATTGGGACTCAATTGGAATTAATTGAAAGATTTATGAATTTTGGGTACGAAATGATTAAAATCAGAATTTCTGAGGCTAATGTGGATATTTTGACAAGATGGAGGATCTAAATTGAAGAGATCCAAGTTGGAGGACCAAATGTGGATGAAGTTAGAAGCTCAGGGACTAAAATGAATAAAGTCGAAAGTTTGGGGGGGGTCTAAACTGGATGAAACTTGAGGGACCAAACGTTGCACATATGGAAGAAGTGAAGCCTGCGGGACGCGACCTTGAATTGCATTTGGAGGGCGCAGCTAGGGCCATAACTCGGAGACCGAAGTCCCTGTTGTCCACGAGCAAATTTCGGAATGCATTTGGATATCGTGGCCCAATAGCGAATTGCATTTGGAGGTCGCAGCGTTGTCACAAAATGCATTTCGAGAAATCAAAGAAAAGTCCCAAGAAATTATTGAGATCAAGACTCGAAGATTTCCAAATTTCTTGGAGTTGAAGATAAAAACTGCATCTATTCATATCATCGTGTTACTAAATAAAAGGGTTATGTCTATATCAACTTTTCTTATTTCGATTTCTTCACCATGCTTCTTGTCTAGATTATTTGTTAGGATGAATAATGTTGCTGAACTTCGCAAAAGATTGCAACCATTCTCGATGGTCCTGTTCAGTTCTGTAGAAGTAAATGGACTACGGTCGAAGAAAGACTTCAAAAGAGCTTCCAATCAAGTATTTCTTTAAATTCTTCTCTTTCATTACATTACTTATTGCAGGTTTTGTAGAAAAGATTAGACCAGACGCTGCTAAGAAAGAAGAAGCCAGAGTTTCATTTGTTATACTTTCCACTTCAATGCTACGTACCAAATGTGCACTTAATATGTCATCCATTCTTTCTAGCCTATATATTATTATGACTTGTATACTGATGAATTTGTTCATATGACACAGAGGTTTGTGTCATATCCCTCTCTGATAATGTGGTCGACATCGTATTTTATATGTTCGATGCAAAATGAGATGGGAATTTGAGCTCGGATGAGTTCCCGAGAGTTATGGAAAGCTGGTTTTGCAGGGTTGATATCATGCTGGATGGACTGTACAAAGAATTGTTCTTCAAAGAAGTTATTCTGATTATAGCCAAGATGATAGGTTCAATTAGTTTGGAAACTGAATGAAATTGTAAAGAAAGAAACATATGCCTTTCAAATTTGAGAAGATCAGCAACCGGATCAGGAATTTGACAGGCCATGATGAAGGAATTGATGTATTTGACAGGAAATTTTAACTGTTCGATGTCATCAGTAAATGTTGATATATAGAATATTCTTATCTTTATCTTCTCGATATTTTGCCTTTTATGAGAAACCTTTCCTTACAGGGCTGCATTGCATAGAGTACTGTCATCTGTTTACATGCGAAAGAGATGTTTCTTTATTCTATCCCAAATAGACAAGTAAATAGTAAGTATAAGCTGAGAATAAAATGATTCATAGTCATACACCCAAAAAGTATGTTCAGAGGTCTTGCAGCCCTAGTTATGAGAAATTCATTGACACAGCAATGCTGACACGCGATGGTTAAAATAAAAGACAGGAACACATTGATCAAATATAGAACTTGCAATAATAGAAGGGGGTTTAATATCTTGATCCAGATGATTTTTCTCTCAAGTTCCTAGTTTCTGCTAACATGCTTTCACAATTCTTCAATCATGATTATTACCCGAGAAAACTAGGAATGAAAGACAGGAAGCTGAACATACCATATCTATGTCAAGGTCTTTGGGTATGCAAGAAATGTGGAACAAAATATCCAACCAGACCACCCACCCCAAATATTGTTGAGACCAAGATAATGTTTGAAAGAGCTAAAACTGAAGCATATATACTTGAAAGACTACTTGTGTTCAGATTGATATTGTAACTTTCCTAACTATAGCATGTGTGAGTTTTCCATACACAAAACTCGAAGTCCTTCAGTGAAAGTCCAGTATAAGGTATAGCTTTGAATTGATATTCAAGGGAAGAATCAACCACCAAAATGAGTTTTCCATCTGCTAAAACGTGGTTGGGTCCAAGAAGCACCGGAGTTTAATTCGAAAGTTTGAATCTTGCAACACGTGAAAGCATATATAGCAGTGCACTCTATAGAGAACGTTTTCATTTCGGGCTTAATGAATTCACAGTTAAAAAAAACCAAAGATAATGAATTTAGCATTTTGTGCACTAGAAATATGATAACATATACACAGTTTCTGCTAATGTTTGAGCTTAGTACAGTGAAGCATATCATGGTTATATCAACCATAGGGTATGCCATTCCTAGGATATGATTCAAGTAGATGTTTATATGTCTTCTTTAAATTTTCACCCACAGCAGATATCTAAGGCTTCACTTCACGCAATAATTTTTTCACCTACTTCCGATCACAGTATTGTTAAAGTGTATTTGACTCTGAATTTCTCCCGTCTATCATACACAGCAAGATCATGGAACCTAGTAAGACATTTCAACCATGACGACGCCATCAAAAGGTGCAGTTTCTACCAAAGATTCAATAAAATTTCATTTCGAGTATTAATTATAATAAAGGATGAAAGATATATGATCATCAGTTAAAACACAGCATTGGAGAAGCCGAACTAGAAATGCACTTATAACTCAAAACACATTCAACAAACTCTGCTCAAAATAAGTGCTAAAGAGAGAAAAAAGATGGGAGGAGCTAAAAAGTTTTCATTTGATAACAATGTTCATACCCTCTGACTCACTCGACTCAAGTGCAAAGCAAGGGCATCCCGTGTCCTCTTCCCACTCTCATCATCCTCTCCATCAAACTCGGGAAACTCTATATTCCTCCGAAGCTCCACATTATCATTTGGCAATACTTCACTGCACTTGATAAGAAAATTGTGAAGCAAACAACAAGAAACAATAACAAATGGAAAAGCCTCAATACATTGCTCTTTCCATTTCTTGCCCACAACTTTCCACCTTTTCTTCACTTTCGCAAATGCTGTCCCAACTAACTCCATACCTTTACTATGCACATCGTTAAATGCCAATTGGACAGAACTCAACTCCGCATTCTTCTCACTGAAGGGCGTCAAAAGCCAAGGTAAAACGGGGTAATACGATTTGCCCAAAATATATTGTGGGATTGAATTCCCATTGTTTAGCTCGAATGGTGGCCCGTTTAAGTACTCCTTAGAATTCTCAATCCCAGAAAAGAGTTTCGATTTTTTCAATAAATCTTTCGGTCTCTCACCATGAGGCCAACCAGCTGACACATCCAAGAACCTCCCTTCAGAGTCGACTAAAGCCTGAACAAACAATGATCCACTTTCATCCATGGAACGTCCGTCCAATTCAAATTTCTCAATTCCCAAAACTCCACAACAATTAGGCAAGGAAATCCACCCGAATCCGACTATAATCCTATTGATATCAGAATTAAACTCAAACAAATGGCCAAGATTATCAACAATCGCCTTACAGACAACATAAAAAGCCCTGCAGGCGGTAGGCGAGTCGATGGTGAAGCGGCGGGAGATTGCAGAGAAGGGGGCAGCGTGGGCTAGGCGGAAGAGGGTGGCGGCGAGGGCAGCATTGGGTGGCAAAGGGTGGAGGGAGGTCAAAGAAGGAGTAAGAAGCCGGAGGAGGAGAGTGAATGAAGGCTTGGACAAATTAAAAAATTGAACCCACCTGGGATCATAATCAGGAGAGGACAAAAATCGGTGGAACCAATTTTCTTGCTGCGGCGGCGGCGGTGGTGGCGTGGTTGGTAAGGGGAGGGAGAGGAGAGAATGGAGGTTGGTGAGTGAGATGGCGGTGGAAGAGAGAAGGGATTCCAAGGTGAGAGATTGGGAAGGGAGCAGATGGAGGTCATGGTGGAGGAGGAAAGAATGGGCAGCGGAGGTGGTGGAGATGAGGTGGGGAATCAGCTCCGAAAGATGTCTGTGGTGGTGGCAGGTGGTGGAGCTGGACCGGAGGAGAGTGGTTTCGGGTTCGATAAGTTCGGTTTTGGGTTTGGCTTTGAATCTCTTGGCAGTCTTCCGCCGCTTCTTTTTGGTTCTCTTGGAGGCTCCGCCGGTCGTAGCCATTCCAGCGGTGGCGGTTGTTGCGATAAATTTTAGACTGGAGAATCGTGGTTGGGTGCTGGCTCTAATTTCTAAATTATGGTCATGTGAGCCCCCACTTGGTTGTAAATGTAAACTTATAAGTTAACTGGTACTCAAAAAAAATTTAAGAAACGATATTCCCATCACAATTATTTCTTGTTGGCCCCATATTTTAATTACAAAGAATATTCTTATTTTTATTTATTATCATATTTATATCCTCAACTTTTTTTATTGTATTTTTGCCCTTAAACTTTAAATAGTACGTCTTGTTTATTATTACGGTTTCTATTCAAACGATTTCTTAGTGTTCCTTGAAACGAGAGTTAAATATTTTGTCGAACATGTTATCTTTTTAATTTAAAAGTATGAGAGACGAATAAATCTTTAAATGATATTCCGATGAAGTTGTTGGACTAAAATCGTGATCAGTGAAAAGTGACGCTAATTAATAGAAAGTTAAAGAAAAGAATGCGAGAATAAAATGCAAGAGAGGTAAGTACAATAATGACAAAAAGGTCAGAAACCTTAATTGTAACTAAAATATAATGCAACAAAAAAAGAATTCATTGTGAATAAAAATTACCCTTTTTACTAATAAATTATCTTTTATAGGTAAAAAATTGAGTTGATAATCACTGCATTCTCAACATTGTCATCTAGTAGTGAACTTTTAAAAAAATATCAAATAGCTACAGCACCTTAAAATGTTGTTTCTCCATCTTCATTTTGTCTCCTGATGTGAAAGAAAAAAATTGTTAATTATGCAAATGATCTGGAGTGAGAGATAAAAAGCAACGTAAAAAATGTAACAATTATTAGAAAATAATTTAAAACTACAATGACTATTCGAAAAACAATAATTTCCAGTTACTATTGTAATTTTTAACAAACAAAAAAATTAAATTCAATGAGAACGACGTCAAAAGCACCTTGGCCTAAGGATGGCAAAATTCTTCGTCACTGATCCAATTAGGGGTATTAAATAGGTCGAGCCCAATCGCTTGACTCGCCTACCAAGAGGCTTTACTCAATCTACTAGGTGAGATGACTCGTGCTCGTTCATGGGATCGATATTGAAAACGTGTATGAACTTGGAACTTGAACTTTAATTGCAATGGTTTTTGATTTGCAAGAAAACCACATCTTCAAGAGTCAATGAGGTTTAAAAGATGACATTACAATCTCAATATGATTGTTAAACACAAACTCAATTCATTGTTACCTGAACAATCATTATAACCTCGCAAAACCCAAACTCAACTAATTGTCACCTCAACAACCAAAGCATTGAGACCAAGAATTATGCGTTATTGTTTTCATTTCTTTCCTTTGAGAACTTGGTACGTATGGTGACATATTGTGGTTAGGGTTAATTTTACAAACGGTTACTGAAGTTACGTCAAAATCACAAAACGGTCACTGAATCTTAAAGCTTGCACTAACGGTCACTGAAGTTACGTTTGGTTTCACTAATGGTCACTGAATTACCTTTTCATTTTAATTGGAACTTAATGGACCAAAATAGTTGAATCTTGAACCTTGAGGACCTAAATCGCAAATTTACAATAAAAATCCCAAAAACCCTTTCTTGGAGAATGGGAGCCGATTTTTTACTCCGAACCAGAATTTTTAGATGAATTCACTGTCTGATTTGCAGCCACCGGATTTTGCGATCTAATTGAACTCTGGTTCGTCTTCACCTCTTCAGTGTTGCCATTTAATTGTTTATTTTGAGTCTGATTCTTGGAAATTGAAGACCCTCTATTCAATTCAGAAGAAGACTTGGATGGTGAAGTCCTATTGATAATCTATCTGGAGGAGGCTTCTTGGGCAAAACTGTACCATTATTTTTCTTCAAAACTTCAACTGTCATTTATTTCTTGATTTTGGGTCTCGTTTTTGACAACTTTGGGTTCTACATTCAAATTGGGAGGTTGCAAATTGGTGTTTTTAGATCTGTTTTCAGGATTGTGAACCTGGGTTGAAGAATTTGGGAAAAATAAGAGAAAAGTGAGATCTATAAGAATCATCAGATAAAATTGACGATTTTGAAGTGGCAGTGGAAGTGAAAATATTAGTGAACCAGGGGGAAGAAGAGTTTGAAGAGTGAGCAAAAGCAAGAAAAATGGTAAAGCCAATAAAAACAAACACAAAGTCATATGCAACAGTTCTTTTGGTTTTTTGAAAAAGAGAAATGGCTTTTGAAGTCTGATATCAAGCTTCTGCCATTGATGGGTGCATATTTTGTTACATCCGCGATCTGCAATTCCCAGAAATGTGCGTGTGTTATAAAGAAGCAGAATAGGAATTACACAGAGAAAGAAATGGGAAGAATTAATTGGATGATATTAGCATGATTTTCACCCTAATTTCCCTTCCCTTCCCTTCCCTTCTCTTCTCTTGGTTTTTCATTTTTGGGAGATTTTATTGTAAATTTTCGATTTAGGTCCTCAAGATTCAAGATTCAACTATTTTGGTCCGTTGGGTTCCAATTAAAATAAAAAGGTCCTTTAGTGACCATTAGTGAAATCGAGCCTAACTTCAGTGACCGTTAGTGCAAATTTTAAACTTCAGTTACCGTTTGTGATTTTGACGTAACTTTAGTAACCGTTTATGAAATTAACCCATTGTGGTTATATTATGAGAATATTTTTTTTATTATCGTCAAGAGTTCAAGTCATGGAATATATCCTAATACAAAAAGGAGATGTTTTGAAACTTTATTTCAATGATGTTCATAGTCATGTACACAAGATCATTACTTGGAGAACTTTAACTCACTTGACCCTTGCATTGATTTGTAGGCAGGAGCGTAGATAATAATAATAATAATAATAATAATAATAATAATAATTAATTATTATTATTATTATTATTAACAATTTTTTATTGAAAAATATGTGATTGAAAATAAGAGAAAAAATAATTCACACGTGTTTTGTCCCTTCGTTCCACATAAAGTTATAACCATGTTTAACCCCTAACTTATAACCCATATTATTATTATTATTATTATTATTATTATTATTATTATTATTATTAACAATTTTTTATTGAAAAATATGTGATTGAAAATAAGAGAAAAAATTATATATGAAAATAATAGGGATCAAAGAAAATTTTATTTTGAAAATAATAGTATTTTGATGAGAGTATGGTTAAAAAATAAGGAAAATTTCTGAGTTTGCGTATAATATTATTTTATTAAAAAACGTGTGGTTGAAAATAAAATAAAACAAATTATATTTTGAAAATAATAAGGGCCGTATGCATTTCTCTCATATTTTTCTAAGTGTTCAAGGTTCAATGAATAACGATGTAAACATAGACCAACTTATAAAGGTTTGTACTACTCCTTTCAACGAGGTTGATATTTTAAGATGGAACTCAAAATTTTAACATGGTATTAGAACCCATTAAACTACAACTAAAAAATTCAATCCGATTAAGACTAAAAAAAGAGCACATGAATTTCAAAATTTGTCTCTTCAAAAGAGTCATCGTCTTGCATGTTAATAGATAAAATTTCACATCGAAAAAAGATGAAAACATAGATCAACTAATAAGGATTTGGACTGCTCCTCTTAATAAGATTAACCTTTTAAGATAGAACCCCAATTTTTAACACTAAAAGTAGAGAAACCACACCAATTCATCTTGAATTTGATAAATTAAACTCTATTCCAGCGAAAGTTATGTAAAAGAGATCTTCCTAAAATATAACTCGACGAATGATAAAATACTCAAAAAGACATCTAATTCTTATTACATTTTCAACAAGAAAAATGAAAAATCTAATCCAAGCTCATGTTCAAACCATGTCAACCTTTACCCTTAATATGCTCAATAAAATATTCATGTAGTTTGTTTTGAGTTTTTCGAGTTGTAATATTATTTTGAGCTTTGAGTTTTATATTAAGAGCTTGCTTGAGTCTTTTTTTTTTTTTTTTAATTCATTTTCAATA